CAAAAGCTGATGTTTTCTATGTGATGTCTGGCTTGTGGAAATCATCGGCAGAAAGGTTTTTCTTGTGGGTTGGAGGGTTTCGCCCTTCAAAGCTTCTTCAGGTGATGAATTAGTGATTTAAAATTATTAATTTAAGGTTATATATGGGGGTGCCGTTGAACTTATGAAATACCTCATTTTGATCTCACCACCTTGCCAGGGTGGGTAAACTTGATCTAAAACTTTGACAACTTATCACTGCATTCTGGTCTGCGCTGATGCTCGGCTCGGTGTATTAAATTTCTTTCACGTCGAGCATTACGCTGGTAATTGTTAAAGTGCATGACATGTTGCCAGTCTGGTTTATTAATTACGCAGTTGGTTTTTGGTCATTGTCTGCTTTGCTGTAAATATGGTTAGGGCCCTTGTTACTCCAAAACTGTGGTTATTGTGTTGTCTTGCACATAATAGCCAGCAAGTCCTGTCTAGTCATGTAAAGTGCAAATATTTATACAGTGATAATTCATTTGGAGGGTTCTGCTATTGGTATAGAGTCATGCTAATTATACGTGGTTGTTAAAAAAGCATTTCTCACTTCCTAGACGTAAGTATCGGCACCAACATATGTTATAGATTAGCATCTTATCATTTGGTTCATACGATTAATAAGTTCTTATATCATTCAAATGGTTGTTTCATTGACTCAAGTATTCATTTTATTCTGTGTTTCTGGACTTTGTCATATTTTCTATTCCGACCCAGTTTCGTCTAAGATATATTCACAAATTTATTTTGATTACAGATTCTCGAGCCTTGCATGGAGCCCTTGACAGAACAGCAACGTGCGCATGTTCAAAATCTTGGACAATCATGCCAGCAAGCTGAAGAAGCTCTTTCACAAGGTTTGGAAAAACTCCAGCAAAATGTAGCAGAGGCTGTGGCAGCTGGTCAGTTGGGTGAAGCAAGTTACTCGCCTCATATGGAAACTGCAATGGAGAAGTTAGAAGCTCTGGCCCGCTTTGTGCAGCAGGTCTTATAATGCACCTTCACTTTGCATTCTCGAATGGTTTTAGTCTAAGTTCTTTAGGCATGTGCACTCATAACACATACACAATCCATGAAGTAATCACTTCAATTTCAGAGGAAAGGCATTCATAACTTTCATTAAAGCATATTAGTGCCTTGTGTCATGAAATAATGTTGTTATGCAGATGTGGGTGATATCCAAGTTTTCGCTAGCATTTAGGTCAAAAGTGGTTGTGCTTGAAGTTATGCTCCCCAGCTTTCTGAATGAGATCAATCAGCTGGGCTTGTTGATATATCTAACATCAACTCTTTGTTTTAACAGGCAGACCATCTACGCCAGGAAACTTTGCAGCAGATGTCTCGGATCTTAACAACACGTCAGGCAGCTCGAGGGCTGCTTGCCTTGGGTGAATACTTCCAACGGCTTCGGGCTCTGAGTTCACTTTGGGCTACTCGCCCACGTGAGCCTGCCTAGCTTCATATTAGGACCCTATAGCTGGTCGAGATCTCAAGGAGATAATCATCACTGGAGCCATACTCAGAAAGAAAAAGGGCGTCTTAGGGTAATGATGTAATCTTATATGTAGACAATTCAAGCTGCTGACATTTTTCAAGCAGCGTCCTACAGCTGGAAAGTTTTAGATATAAATAGCCATTCTATCAAGAGGAAGCTTGTGGTTAAATCAATTTTCAGTGCTGCTACTGTCTTGCCATCAAATGATATATCACGTTGAGTCTGCAGGTGAAACTTTGTCATGTAAATTGTAGTCTACTTGTGTTTGTATTTTTGTTCTGCCTTGTACATAAATCGTGAGAATTGCAAATTATTTGTTGCCTCCCATCTCCCTTGCTTATACTGAAATGGTCACTGTAGGTTGGGAAAACCCTACCTGACAATGAACTCGAGGTCAATAATGAATGGCATGGATGTTTTGCTGCCGAAATTATGTAATATCATTGATGCACAATTAAGAAGATGCAACTCAT